TATATATATATATATATATATATATATATATATATATATATATATATATATATATATATATATATATATATATATATATATATATATATATATAGACACACACCCACACCCACACCCCCACACACATACATACATAAATGAAAAGTGATATTAAGTCACATGAAAATATATACCCATTCACAAAAAATATAACACCACATTCATTCATAAGACTTGAAAATAGTTGCACCACTTGTGCATCAGGACATCTTAAAAAGTTGAGTGTCACTATGCACTTTCTTAAAACTGGTTCTAGTTCTAAAGAGAAGGAAATTCGTCAATATGTGAAATTCAATTTGATCTGCCTTGCCGGATTGGGCTGAAAATTCAAAGATCAACATGGATTTTGTATTTCAATGCATACGTTACATCTTTGGATTTGATAATGATAAATTTTAAAGCTGCTAATTATATATGGAATATAATTATTCATGTTTCACAACTGATTACACCTGTAAACTGTTAATTTGAAGAGAAACTGCTTACTCATTTGTGCATGTTGATTTTCTTTCATATAATGTCAATGAACTTAAATAGTAGATGTTTCTATTGTTTCTGTTGTGTAGTCCAAGTGTGTGACATCTGCAAATCGGATATAAAATTTCATTGATCAGACTGTGGTTTAACTGATAAACTGCATAATTTGACCCGCACTCACCACTAATTCTTGAGCTAGTTTCAAGATTTTGATTCCATTATTGAGTCACTCTTCTCATGCCACTTTCACTTTTCTGAAACTTCTTGTGTATGTTCAAAACCATTGGTGGTTGCTTATGGCTCATTGTTTAAGTTTTAGTTCATAGCCTCTCAAGCTCCAAGCTCGTAGAAAGCTTATAGCTTATGCTTGTGTGTTAATTGCTTATTTCTATCTATCATTAATAAAAATAGTTGGAAGCTCATATTATGGCAACAGGCCAGACACCGTATAGGTTTCACATCAGGACAATACGTTATTAGTATCAATGTGTTTTTCACCCTCTACAAGGCAAGGCATCGCCCAAACCATCAGGGTCGGCCTCCTTTGAAATGATTTGGTAGTCGGAATTGAAGTATTAAGAGTTAGATAAATTCACATTTGGAATGACAAGAATTCACACTCAATCCTGCCACAGTTAGTACATGGATGGAGTATGTTTCCTGTCTATTCATGAATTGGAGACTCCCATGAATATCCTAATCCCTGACCTTCTTTAACTTGCCAAATATAGGTATCACACTCAATCCCCTGGAATAAGCAGTCATTCCAAAAGATCAAATTTTCTTGTATTAATTGTTGATTTTTTTTCTGTTTATTAAAGCTCTAATGTTAGCTCTATCTAGATTTTAATTGCTTCACGGAAAACATGCACTCAAATATCATATCGCCGTGATCATTCTTATTTGGCTCTCTGCATCGTTCTTGCATTGATATTAGTTACATGGCAGGTTAATCTGGAGGTACTGCGGAACAGGTTAGCTGGTGCTCATTCTGAGCATCTGGACAGAGGCTGCAGATTAAAACCCGAATTCTCTGCTGAATCGAAATTCGGACTGACCGCAATTTATATCAGGTGTCGGCACTGCAATACTTTTGAAGTTGTTATATAGGCACATTATTTCCTCTGGTTATTTTTTTAACTCCACTATGTTAAAATTTGTGAGGCCATGGTCTAAATCTGGTGCCAAGTTTGCAATAGCTTTATCTTGTCCAAATGAAACATATAAAATGATGGCGAAAAATTGATTTTCCCAAGTTTTTTGATAACACATTTTTCGTCTTTAGTTATGAAAAATGAGGTTTTTGAGAGCAATAAGAAAGAAGAATATTTATGTGTGTTGCAAAGGTTTACGGAGTATTGTAAATTATAAGCTGTCCTATAGTTTAGAGAACAAAGGTGTCATCTGATCTTCTTATAACCTACAGAGTATAATGTTGTAAGATGAGAGTAATATTTGATACAGACAACTCTCATTTTGTCATTAAAGGATATGTTTATAGATTGGTTTTATGTCATTAACACATTTTGTACCTTTCTCATCAAGATCTTTGTCTACACCCCTTCACAAAGGGGTCGAAATTGCCCTTGTTCGTGGTACACTACCTTCGTTCACAATTAGAGCACCGTGTCGACATTTTTTTTCAAGTGAAAAAGTAACATGTTTAGAGAATTGTCTTTCCACCATGTATACGTGCAAACTATAATTAATTACTCCGTAGTAAAGAATAATAGTAATAATAATGAAAATGAAAATAATATAAATACAAAGATTTTTTACTAGTCTTATGTAATCATCCAATGCCTAATCTCAAGGATGAATGTGGCAATGAATAAAATGGCAATGGCAACACCAAAACCAGCATTCCAAGCAACTCCCCCATCAGCTATGTGGATTCCATAAAATATGTTTGCAATGGCAAATATGACCAAAATCCTTCCAACGTTGTGATGATACCAATTCCAATATTTTCTCACTTTGGCTTCCTTTTTAGGCCGTGCCAAAAACGCAATCACCTGTAATTCATACAACCGTTTATCATTTCTTGCCACCGGGTATCATTGTCACCGTTAATCATCCATGTTGCCAGCCACCCCACACATCATTAATTAAAATGTGATTTTAAAAATTTTTCAAACAATTGCATTTCACGTTTCAGAATTCATATCAATTCTCTTATATTTCAAAACTCATATCATATCATACCCCTCCAAAACTCGCTAAACAGGTCCCAACACTCGTGCAAAACAAACATTCTTTTAACTTGTAAATATAATCAACATATACATGGTGTACAATATATATCGTAAATCCGATTGCGGGATATGAACGAGACAAACCTGCAAGCAACCAAGGACGAGGATGAAGATGCCAATGCCTTTGTGGGTGTTAACTTTAGTCCCAAGACGATTCTCAAGGATTAGGCCAAAAATGACACCCAAAAGTCCCAAGACAAAACCCATTGTTTGGAGGGCAATGTGGGAATAAAACCAAACCGGTTCCCATTCCTTGAAATAGCGAGCAGCCATTATCCCAAACGGCACCACGATTCCCCAACCAAACAGGTTTAGCACTCCGTGGCTCCTCCTTAGCCTCCTGTACAGCGTCTTTGTTTGACTTTGACCTATAAAATGAGACTAAAATATATAAATTCGTACCAAAATAAGACTTCCTACATTTTTGTCTTCTAAATTAGAGCGTTAGCACTGTAAACCTGATAATTTGGCACAGTGTGCCGGTATTTCACAGTACTTTTTTGGCATTATAAGTCCTATTTTGGTGTAAAATCATTTGAAAATCTAATATTAGACATGTTTTGTTTCATGTGATTGATGTTTGCAAGGCAAGATTCGGACAAACGATAAATTTCATCTACACGTGACAAGACGTGTGAGAGTATAACATTTGTAAAATTTAGTTTGCAATTCCAATGACCTAGAAAGGATATAAGTTACTCTTTTTTTTGAAGGGACGAGTTTAAGTTACTCCCTCCGTCCCAATTTAAATCGCCTGTTTTGACTTTTGGGCATATTTAAGAAAAATAAAAAATAGAGTTGATTTTTCGAAATTGATATTACTTTTTAGGAGGGGTGATGATGAATGAGAAGATAAGGTGAAGAAATGTGACTTATTTTAGGGGTAGTTTAGGTATTTTATTTTTAAAAGTTTACAAAAACAACTAACAGGCAACTTATTTTGGGACAAAGAAAAAAGGCAAACAAGCAATTTAAAATGGGACGGAGGGAGTACTTAGTACTTCCTCCGTCTAAAAGAAGATCTTTATGTTTGACTTTTCAGGGGTCACCAACACGACATTAATAATTATAATTTTGTGCAAATAAAAACTATAAAAAATTAATTATATTATTTATGTAATAACTAATTACAAGGCCATTTTTTTCAAAATTTGTAGTCAAAGTTTACAAATTTAATCAAGAAAACTCCAT